CCCCAAAACCCCAAAACCCCACTTTCATCAGATATTCCATACAATTTGATCATGAAATAAATTATTAAGAATTTTTATATTATCAAATCAATTCGTTTATGATTAATATTTATCTGCCTGCTGTGATAATTCTTTCACTAAATACTGATTTCTCTATCAAAAAAAGCTAGGATCTTCTTGATCCTCTACGTTAGCAATTTCTCCTTATCTACTTTCGCTGCTTCCCAAATCTTTCTCTTTTAAGGTACCATCAATAAGTTGATCCTCACTTATGTCTTCCAAATGTTTAGGACTATCATCTTCTAATTAATAATTTGCTTCTTCATCGATAGATACTTAGTGCTAGATAAGACTGTCCTTTTTAGATTTATTTAAAATTGGAGGTAGAGCACTTTAAACCTTATCCTAGAAATCATTATTCACTAATTAAAGTGATCCAAATCGGGCAAAAAGTCTGTTTTTCCCGGTTCCTTATTTTTTTAAAGTAGTTTAAGGCAGGTGTTCCTCTCTATGCTTTTTATCTTTTAGATAAATGCCTTTAAGAAGATTTTTATCTATTTCATTCATTTATGATTCCTGTAAATGAATCAGACTCTTTTTTATCTTTTCCTTTATTGCTAGCCTTACTATCTAGTTTTTATTATCAAGTAATTTCATGGTATCATATTAATGATTGTCTGAATCAGAAGATGAACTGTGTGACTCTAGCAAATTTTTTCTTTAAAACTTCAAAAGAATTCTGCTTCTTTGGGATAAAATAACTTTTGCCATTAGTTTTAGTTTTCTAATAGATCGGACTAGATTGACAATGTCAAGTTCTTAATGGATCTTTTTATTTGCTCTGTGAAAGAAGAAATGTTTAACAGTATCTGCTGATTTTTTTAATGTCCTTGAGTGTCTGATGCAAAAGCAATGTAAAACAAAATGAAAAACATCATAAGGTGTGTAATCAAATCTTCTTCTATTTGTTACTTCAGAATATACATGACCCAACTATTCTGCATTTAGCTTTGTCTAAGTCATCATCTTTTTAACTATCCTTGGATTATCATTACTCTTTTCCTAACTATCTTACAAAGAAGAAATTTTTATTGACTTTGAGGATAACTCATCTTTTCCTATATATGAATTACTCTTGTTGATTGTTTTATCTTTGGATAATCTTCTCTCCATTTTCTTCTAAAATTCTTTAGTTGTTATACGTGTCTAATAGATCTATCTAAAGAAAGAACTCTTAAATAATCTTTTTTAGAAAAAAGTGACACCTAATAACCCAATAGCAAACATCATATGCTTAAATCCTCCTACCTTTTCAAGAATATCTAGGAAATTTTCAGAAATAAAACGATAAACTATTGATCTTCGATCGAGATGTAGCTTTAACGTAGCGAAATTTTTAGTTAAAGGATTTATCTTGTGATCTGATACCTAGACTTTGCTAACCTAGACAAATCTATCTACAGCCTTTTCCCAAAATATAAAGAAATTGCTATACACTTCTGTAGATGCTTCTTGTAAGATGATATCAATGCGCTTTTCTCTAGAAATATCTAGATAAACATTATTCAGTGAATCATCTATATATGGCTATAGAGGATTTTTAATGTCGTTAAAGTTAAAATTAGTATTGATGTATAAAAGTTAAAGAGTCATATCACCTAGGTATTCCTCTATTTATTTTTGACTTTTACATAATCCTGTTTAGTTGTAAATTGTTTATTGGCACGGTAATAATTACAGCAATAAGTAAGAGTATTGATCACTTAAAATAGGATTTCCTTGTATGCTCAAATGATCGCTATTGAAACATTTATATTAGCTTAGTAATTAAATCTCCTTAGATGAAGAAAATCTCTAGAATACAGGGTTCTAATTACAAGATCTAATTTCTATGTTCTAGTGTTATGTTACTCTCTCTTAAATTGGATTAGTAACTGTCTCGAAAACCTGAGTGGCTAAAATCTAGCCATAGCTTTCATTAAAATCCTTATTGAGTCTAAATGATAGGTCAAAGCCATTCCTAGCAGGGTAAATAGGACCTGCTTCATTACCTCTTATTATATACTTAGTTGAATTAATGGCATGCTTATAAGTAAATAGCAAATAACACTCATAACCTATGAAACTTAAGATGATTAATTTGACTAATATAGTGAATGCTGCACCAATAGATGTCTTATAAGAGTCTTTCCCTTTATATAGAAGATGGACTTTTTCTCCATACATATCAAGATGCTTCAATTATTTATGTAACTTATGCTAAATAGTCGATTTCTTCTTTTCTGTTACAGCCTTGAGTATAAGAGTCTTGTTTCTCTTATCCATAAAAGACGTCTCACTATCGTTCATATTTTGAAAGTTAAAATATAATTTATGTATTGATAATTGTCAGCAGCGTATACTAAATTTTTAATTCCAAATAGTTAAATAGCAAAATTTTTCTCTATTTCATGTATCAAGGGGTTTTGGGGTTTTGGGGTTTTGGGG